AGAAGAAGGAGGGAGGAAGAAGAGGAGGAGGAGGAGAGGGGGAGGAAGAAAAGAGGGGGAGGAGGAAGAAGAGGGGATGGAGGAGGAGGGGAGAAGAAGGAGGGAGGAAGAAGAGGAGGAGGAGGAGAGGGGGAGGAAGAAAAGAGGGGGAGGAGGAAGAAGAGGGGATGGAGGAGGAGGGGAGAAGAAGGAGGGAGGAAGAAGAGGAGGAGGAGGAGAGGGGGAGGAAGAAAAGAGGGGGAGGAGGAAGAAGAGGGGATGGAGGAGATGGGGAGAAGAAAGAGGGAGGAAAAAGAGAAGGAGGAGAGGGTGAGGAAGAGAAGGAGGAAGAAGAGGGGATGGAGGAGGAGGGGAGAAGAAGGAGGGAGGAAGAAGAGAAGGAGGAGAGGGGGAGGAAGCGGAGAAGAGAGGGGGAGGATGAAGAAGTAGAGGAGAGGAAGGGAGAAGGAGGAAGAAGAGGGAATGGAGGAGGAGGAGGAGGAGGAAGAAGTGGAGGAGAGGGAGGAAATTGCTTCCTAGTACCAAACCGGGTGAGTTCTAGTCCCGTCTTAGCCATGAAAGCTTGCTTCTCCCCCTCCCCCCTCTCTCTCTTTCAACCCAGCCCACCTCACAAGGTCGTTGGGGGGAAACGGGAAGAGGGGGGGAGGTATCTTCCCTGCCTTGAGTCATGGATAAAGAATAACAGAGGTGGGATAGAGACCCAGTAAGTGGATCCCCGGGGGAGGCGACCGTTTGCCGTTTGTGGCCACAGAGGAGGCCAGGGAGCTGCCTGTCCCAAGCTCAGGGCGCCCGAAACCCCCCCTCCCGCCATCTTACCTGCACTAAGACCAGCATGTCGTTAAAGAGGAGGATCCGGTCCGTCCTGGCGATGAAGCTGGTGAAGATGGGGAGGTTTTCGCTGTCCTCCAGCAACCGTCTCTCGGACGTGCAAAGGACGTCCTAGGATACATACAAGCAGTCCTCGATTAACAGGCGGTTCGGGTAGCGACCGCCAAAGTTCCGACGTCACTGAACAAAAGTGGCTTACAATTGTTTTTCACCTGTACAACTGTTGCCTTGTCCCCAGGGCCACGTGACCCAAATTGGGACACTGGGCAATCGTATTTATGACGATCGCAGCATCCAATGGTGTGATTCAAGCGACTTACACCACTTCGGCTGAACCGGTAGCTAAATTGCCGGCTGGCCACGCCCCTCCCCTTCCAAGAATCCCCATGTACCCCATTTTGGCCGCCAGGAAAGTGGAGGAGGGCCTACTAGGCCCAAAATGGGGCATTCCCCCCCCCCGCTGCAGCCCTCATTTTGCTTCTAGGGGAGTGCGGGAGGCCGAGCGCTGCCTGCCACGCTCCTGGCCACGCCCACCATGGCCACCCCTCCCATCCATTCATTCTCAAGAACACACCGCGAACTTGGTTCCCACGGTCTTCCACAACGCGGCGGTGAAGCCAGCTTCGTCCACAATACGGCTGACGTACGAACGCAGCTTTGCGAACTTTTCGGAAGCAATGGAGATTTCTTCTTTCTCTGAGCTCTGTGGAGAGAAGCGCATAAACGGAGCTGGCTCGGCTCCCGACTCCAAGTGACGACTCAAGGTGGAAATTGGCAGAATGGGTTGAAGCTGCTTCCAAGATTAAACCAGGGTTTCGGATTCACACAATCCCTGTGAACTCTGAGTGGGTCCAAGTAGCTGTAGGGGGTGTGGGGTGGGGAGGAGGACAGCAGGGGTCCTTGGTACTCTCTAACCCTGGTTGTTTTCTTGAAGAAGTCTCATCACCCAANTTGATGACTGTGGAAGAGATGCACGAAAACCTTTTTGTAACCAGCTGATACGCTTTCTACACCATGTATGGATGAGAATTTTTTTTTTAATGTTGTTTCTTATGTTTAAAAATAAAAAAAAATTGCAAAAAAAGAAAGAAAGGCCAGAAAATAGGAGGCAAAAAACTCAATTTGTCTTCTTTAGCGACAGAAATGCTGGGCTCAATAAGTGGTCATAAGTTGGGGACTGCTTGTAAGGGCGAGGACCAGTCATAAACCACCTTTTTCAGGGCCGTTATATGGGCACTAAACAAATAGTCGTAAGCCAAGGCTTAACTTGAAAGATATTAAATTTTCCCCAGGCAATGAATGGGGGAAGGAGATAAATTTTTTTCCCTCCGCTCTACATAAGCCATTGAATTAATTTTACTCACTTCCCGGTTTCGCTGGAAGCCGTCTCAACCCACAGAAGCTTCAGATCAAAACTCTGGAAGTGATTCCCCTGAAACATTTGGGAGTTAAAAGAAAAAGACAGCTCAAAACAATAAACAACAACAACAACAACAACAACAACGGAGATTACCCCTATTTCTGCTGCTCTTTGCTTGAAGGGTGTAACTAGCACAAGGCGAAAACAAAAATAAAAAAACCCATTTTCCTGATTCCCAGGGGCTTTTAAGACTCAGGAGAAGGGGCTGGGCGGCCTCACGTGGGAACCCCCCCTCATCTCCAATGGGGGGTGGGGGGTCAGGTATAGGATGGAATGGGAATGGGTGCTTGAGGTATTGCGAAATACCTGGGATTTGCAAAATTGCAACCAATATGTAGGGAAAGAGAGGAGGAGGGAGAAAACAGGAGGAGGAAGTGGAGGAGAGGAAGGAGGAAGAAGAGGGGGGTGGAGGAGGAGGGGAGAAGAAGGAGGGAGGAAGAAGAGAAGGAGGAGGAGAGGAAGAGGGGGAGGAGGAGAAAGAAGAGGAGATGGAGGAGGATGGGGGAGAAGAAGGAGGGAGGAAGAAGAGAAGGAGGAGGAGAGGAAGAGGGGGAGGAGGAGAAAGAAGAGGAGATGGAGGAGGATGGGGGAGAAGAAGGATGGAGGAAGGAGAGGAGGAGAGGGGGAGGAGAAGGAGAAGAGGAGGAAGAAGAGGGGGAGGAAGGAGGAGGGGGAAGAAGGAGGAAGAAGAGAAGGAGGAGGAGAGGAAGAGGGGGAGGAGGAGAAAGAAGAGGAGATGGAGGAGGATGGGGGAGAAGAAGGATG